AAAAAAAAAAAAAAGGAAAAACTCTGACTCAGAACTTAAACACATAAAGCCTTTGTGTTTCCTCTGCTGGTGCCCTTCTTCGTTACTTGTTAAATTTTAATTAATTATGAATAAGATTGATTAAGGTACTTTGAAATATTTTACATATAAACTGTCCGTTCATGCACTGACTCAAAAGCATAATGATATTCTGAAAATATGAAACAACTTGTACAGATTTAGTAAGACAATTTTAGTGTTTATAAAACACATACTGTATAGTACTGTATGGATGGTTCGTGTTATATGTGAAAAAAAAAGGCTTGAAAACTGAACACACACAATTTTTGAGATGCTCTTATCACTATTCAGAGTTCTAACAGATCTTATGATTTCCAAAACATAAATCAACTTTTTATGACACAGTTATTTATAAAACTGCAGAATTGACAGAATATAGTGGAACTGAAAATAACTTCTTTTTTTTTTAAATCTAATTTAATTTTATAATAATCAGAGTGTAGTAACATTGAGTGTTAATTGAGTGTAGTAACACACACAGAGAATTGGCTATTGCAACCTGTGGTGCAGGGAAAGTCTATTAGACTTTTTCTCCCTGGTAGTGGGAAGTTCGGATCTTGTGGGACGGCTCCCAAAGAAGAGCCGGCTCTTTTGGATCTCAAATGGCTCTTAATTTATTATCATCTGTAGCCTCATATTCTAGCCTTACTTGGCAAATATGAATGTGCCGTGTATTGCTAAAGCTTTTTGCATTTTGCGTTTTTATGAGAAGCCTTATAATTGACTAATTTTGTGTATTTGTTCTGTTACAAAAGCAGGAATTCTTTTAATATTTTAATCATACTTTTAATTTTAATTTAACACAAAAACAAAATACTGAAAACAAATCCACAGAACAGAAACCAAACTCAGCAGCCAAACAGTCTGTCCTCAGTGCAGGTTGAAATTCAGGGTGATTTGATTTCCTCTGTTAGTATCTCCTTCTTCTTTAAACTGCAGCCAGATGCTGCTTTGTTTACTGGAGTCAATCTGCAAAACCCTTTTGCACATGACACATCACTACTGCCTGGAGCCCCACCTGGAGCTCATTGTCATGGCTGTATTTAAGACCAGCGTTGACCACTACTCTTCCCAGATCGTCTGCTAACCAGCGTCGGCATCAAAAACTGAGCTCACTATTGGAGCTGGGAACAACCCCAGATTTTTTGAAGCTTATTAGACCACACAAACAAATAAACCCACAACATTATCAGCAACCAACTTCTGTTAGTTGCAAAGAAATAAAGAATCAACTAAATCAAACTACCACATCAGATTTGAAGTGTGATTACGTTTCAGGAATAGGCTGAAAGACATAAAAACAGTTACACTGAAAATTTGGAGGGTGTCAGACTATTTTCTATCAGTGTTTAATTTTTAGACTAATTACGACATTTTGAAGTTGGTTAGATACGTTTAGTTTCAGTTGAGTTTTATTTATGTAGCACCAAACTCAACAACAGTCATCTCAACTTTACATTGTAAGATAAAGACCCAATAATAAAAGAGAGAAAACCTCAACAATCAAAATATCACCTCTGAACAAGCACATTGTGACAGTGGGAAGGAAAAACACCCATTTAAAAGGAAGAAACCTCCACAGTACCAGGCTCAGGGAGAGTCAGCCATGGCGAACAGTTGGGAGTAGATCACTATGCTAACTAATGCTGAACACATATCCTGGTCCAGGGCAGGTTATGTTGAGACTTTCAGTTTAAAATCCACTGGAGAGACACATTTTGAATTTTATTTACAGTTCACTTTAGGTGCTGTACACATTCTGCACATTCTGATGTAGGAACACATTTTATATATGGAACTTGGTAAACAAAGTCTTACTAACACTACTGAATGAAGCCCAGCTGGGAAATTACAGCAGCTCTGATGATGGGTCTCATTTACACTGCTGGAAATGCAGCGACACAGATTAAAACTTTCACCAGTTCCTTTTTTGGCTATTGGTCACCAAGAACATCGGTCTAATCAAAAAAATGACTTGTCCACAAACTAAGTTGATTTCTTTTTCAGTCTCTGAACAGGTTTCCGAGCTGAGCACACTGAGTGTAAAGTCTGTACTAAACAGCAGTAGGCCTACCTGAGTGATAACCTCTCTGTGGTTTGTAGTGATCAGGTACGACTGTGCCACCCACAGAGGGAAACAGAGAATGAGACAAGCAAACGGTGGCCGTTTAATTTGACTGGTAAATCAAGCTCTCTTTTTACCATGACAGACAGCATACATAAGCAGCCATGGTCCCAATCCATCTCTTGATCTCTCGCTCCCCTCTCCTTTCACTCGTGAACAAGACCCCAAGAAACTTCTACTCCTCCACTCGGGGCAGTAACAAGCCCCAGACCAGGAGTGGACTCTCCATCCTTTTCCTGCTTAGGACCGTGGCCTCAGACGTGGAGGTGTTGATTCTCATTCTCAGTGCTTCACACTTGGCTACGAGAACCGCTCCAGTGCCAGCTGAAGACCATCACTTGATGTCATAACAGGTGGTTTATACAGATAAACAATCAAAATGGATACACAGAGATATAGTAAAATATGATAAAAGGTTTTTGCTCCATAATAAACAGCAAGGAAATAATAATGTGTAGTTTCACTTTTTATCTTGGATCCACATACACAACTGCCTGAATGCCTGACAAGCATGGGGTGAGATTACATCAGTTCCTGTTTCTCTTTGTTGCACTCTTTGACCTTAGTTCTCTTTTGTACAGATACTAGCATGCAGTCATGTAGTTCTGTTGGACGGTTTACTGCAGTAATGTTTGAGGGCAGAGCAGCAGCAGAGTTTTTATGAGTTAAGGATAATCTGGAACTCAAATTGGGATGGAAGTTTGGCTTTTAAATTTGATCTTTGCAGAGTGTGGTACACTCTGGATAGGTTGTAAATCCATGGTAGAGTTAACAGAGACAGACATTACGAGCCATTATTTTAATTTATGTATGCTATGTGCTCAAAATGATGTGTGATTGGCTATTATTATTCATTGATAATGTGTATAAAAAGAATAAACAATAATTGCATTATATAGGATATTATGTAGGCGTAGCAATCAACTCTACTTAAATTATTTCATTTACTTCTCTGTTAAACGTAACTAACTCTACTGCTTTCCCAGCGTTATGTGGGCAAATACCTCCCAACAGCGCCATCATGTGGTTATATGGATTAAAAACAAAGTTCATTTAGTTCTACACTGTTCAGCAGATGGAAACTATTCTATTACCAGACAAAAGGAGAGCAGGTGTTTAATGGACAGCATCTTTAAATTTTGTTGACCTGATGAATCTCTCTGAAAGTTTATCTAGATATAAATTCCTATCAGTACTGACAGGTCGTTTCTATAACAAAACAATTATGGAGTTGATCTTTTTAATCATTTATCTGTATAAAAATCACGTTTAAACATCAAAAAACAGAAAACTTTCAGTTATTTTTGTGTATTATAGTGTAAACAATCCAACTCACTTCACTGTCCCATCTTTTTCTTTTGTTTCTCTGTTTATGTATCAGCAGTTTGGTCTGATTTATTACAAAGAGCTTAACAGTCTGTCAAATGAACACAAACAAGCAGATGAACTTGTATTACAGATGTTAAAGCTCCTCTCAGCTCTTTCCTCACAGTTACGACCTGATCTCACGTGTGTATTTCTGAAGCAGAGCCCCTTAACTTCACGAATCTAATGTCTGTACCTCATGCTTCACTTTTGCTTTTGTTTTAAATGCAGTCTTCTCCAGATCAAGAGCAAATAGAAACATTTTTTATTTATTTATCAATCAATTTATTACAACAAATGAAGAAAAATTTATTACAACAAATGAAGAAAAAAAAATATAAACAAAGAAAATCAGACAGCAATGTTCTTGATAACAAATGTCACCAAAACACATTCCTACCAGATATAGATCTCTCGACACACACACACACACACACACACACACACACACTTTGTTAAAATACCAACATATGTTTTAATATTGTTTAAAAAAATATTTATACAAATACAAAATAATATCCAAAAACTTGGGTAGTGCGTTTATAAAACCAATAAAAAAAAAAAAAAAAAAAAAAACCTAAACAGAAATAACACCAAAAACCCATAAACACTGTTATTTTTTAATTTTTTTACATGAAACTGAAAAAAGGTGTTTTAAGGTGAAGCTTATGTTATTAGAAATTATTGCAAGTATTACATTTAAAAAGTGCTTAATTCAGATATTTAACGTTACATACATGAGACTATTGCAGCTTTTATCCAAGACTGAAACACGTCTGTCAAACTGAAGGGTGCAGTTATTACATTTATTGTTTTTATCTTTGTTTAAGTCAGATGTGATTTGTAAAGACCAAACAATTACATCAATGGTTTTATGTCTTGCCACTTACATTTTTAATAGAAATGAAGTGTGTTACTGTAACATTACTGTGAGAACATGAAAATGAGTCATTGTCAATTTTCAGCTGAAATGCTGCACGGCTCACATTATTTGCTGAGAGTGAGTTCTCTGAAGAGACAGAAAACCCACTTAAAATGTCTAAGGTCATGTTAAAAAGAGTAAAAGTGCATGTTCAGTGATTTTTCTTTCATAACCCATGCTTATAGTTGAAGCTGATACTGAGAACGGCTGAAAAGTTGTGGTTATTATTTGCAGGAGACCACGAAGGGGATCTGCCTGGAGCCATAATGATGCTGAGAAATGTGCATTTGGATCAAATGTAACTTCGAATGAATCTTTGAATATAAAGATCTAGGCTTTTGTCTTTATAAGTGCAAAACGAAATACATCAAAACATAAATCAGAGCATAAAAATTGTTCGATTAAAATTCAACTACACAGAGGAAAAAAAAAAAAAAAAACTTTCACAGTATTGCTTGCAGATGTCTCTTAGCCTCTTCTATCACTAACACTAAACCACCAAGTATTAGAGCTCCAACATTTAGCACTCCTAAAACAGTTTTAACATTGTTCCAGTCATGAGCTCTGCGTTTCTCCTCAGGACTTCTTGCTCCTTTAAGAAAAGAAAAAAAAAAAACAAAAAACATCAGTTTATATCTGATGTCAGGTGAAGCAACTATTTATGTTTGATTTAACCTTGTCATGCTCAGTCATTCAGGGAAGGCAATTACAGAAAGTTGATTCTGTTCATCTGGAGTCAGATACTGTTATGTGACCATTTAAAATACATACAGTAGATTTTGTTTCTACTTTCCTTTAAACCCTCCATTTTCTCCCCTCTTTTTCTGCAGCACCAGCCAGTCAGTATTTTTAGGTACTGAATAAATAATAAACTTGTCAAAAAAAAAAAAAAAAGAAAAAAAAAAGAAAAAGCCATGGCAAAAAAAAGGAGCAGTGTTATCGTTGTCAACGCTTCTAAATAAGTGCACAAATAAATGCCTGGCAGCATTTCAGACTGGCTACCAAGTGGTTAGATTTGTTCTAGAGAGACTTTGTTTTAAAAGAAAAGTTTCATTACAAAGCACTTTGTTAATTAATGAGTGAACACCTTTAAAACCTTTAATAACCATAGTAGCAGCTCGGTGTGTCCTACTGTAGAATAAGGAGGGGATGTTTTTCTCATTATCATTCATTATTTTAAGATGGCATTATTAGTTCATCAGAAGTATATAACCAGCTTTGCATTAAACATAAATTGAAGT